CCCTAAACCCTAAACCCCAGACCTCCCCACACCCCCGAGGTGGCCCCATGCTCTTTTGGCTCTCGCCGAGCTTCGGGCGCTGCGTCGGACACCGGACGCCGCGGCGCCAGGGACCTATGGGTCTAAGGTAATAAAGAGGTTTAGGGTTTAAGGATGTTTGAGGTTTAAGGTTTAGGGTTTAGGGCTTTGGGTCCCTATGGAGGGCGAATATAGTTTGTAAGACTTTCCCTTTGAGCACCTAAATAGTTAAATAGTTTTTCGAGGGCACCAAGGTTATGGAGAGTTGTGTAGGGGTTTTCGGGCTTGGGTTTTGACAGTTTAGGCTTTAGGGTTTGGCGTTCGGGGTTCACGGTTTAGGGCTTGGTTTCCACGGCGTGCGGCTCATAGAAAGCTGCATGGACAAGACGCTTGGGTTGAGGCACCTGTTCATGGAGCCCTATCGATCTTGCAAGGTGTGGCTCTCGAGTGAGCATTGAGCAACTTCAGCAAGAACATCGAGCTGGGGAATGCATAGGGCATAGGGATGCATAGGGTCACTGAAATCACTTGGGCTTCTAGCACCCGGTGACTGTTGCTGAGTTAAATTCACCCCCAGCTCAATTTCAGTAGTAAGCAGTAGCAGTAGTAGTAGTAGTAGTAGTAGTAGTAGTTGTAGTAGTAGTAGTAGTAGTAGTAGTAGTAGTAGTTGCTGTAGTAGTAGTAGTAGCAGCAGCAGTAGTAGTAGTTGTGATATTCGTAATAATAGTTCATAACCATACTCATAATCATAACGTTCATCATAATAATCATAATCACAATCAGAATAGTCATAGTAATAATGGTGGTGATAGTAGTAGTAGTACGAGTCTGGACATCGCTGCCAAAAGGCAGGTCTGGCCTCCAAGCCCTACAGTCCCTGTGAATCTGAAGCCTTGCGGTCTTAAAGCCTTGCCTTCAGAAAATCCGCATCGAACCCTCGCAGAAGCCTTTGAAGAATTCGGTATTTGGGCCCCAAAGTCCCTAAAAAACCCGTCCGAAGGTTCGGAGAGCTGGTCCGCAGCGCTGTGGAGGCCGCAGCATGGAGGCCAGGTTTCAGGGCTGCGACTCGGTTACCAGGTGGCAGTTTGGGAAAAGTTTGCTGCTGAAGCTCAGAACTGCTATAAGGCTTCCACGGAAATCCACTGAAGGCCTTCAGGTATTTTTGTCAGTTTGTGCTGTTGGGGGGCTTTGAAACTGCTGCCCAGTGTAGTTTTCAGACGGTTTAATGCGAATCTGGGCCGGCTTCGGAAGGGAATGCCACAGAGTCTTGCTGTAGGGGTGTATAGGTCTTTGAAGGTTTAAAGGCTTTTGGGTGATAGGGCTTATGGGTTAAATGGTTTTGGGATCTCGCTAGCAATTCTAGAATGTGAGCTTGATGGAGAAATTGAACACTAAAGACCCCAAGCCCTACCTGCTCAAGTCCCAGCCCCACAACGCAACCGAAGCTTTACAGGACAGGCAACTAATTAAGGGGGTTCGAACGTTTGATTACCAATACTGTTCGTATATAGTCCGTACATATTATATATATATATATATGCTCGCAGGGTTTTGGATCGATCGGCGAAGAG